TACACAATTTTGGAGGAATGGCATCCTTCTGCTTCACAGCTTGTCCTCTCTAGAACACCCAAGGGGGAATAATCCTGCCACTCTCTGCCAGGCCAGCCCAATCCTAGGCTGTGCCCAAAGTTTCTTCTTCCATCCAAAATACTGTCCTTTGGGAAATGCAGGCAGCTGCAGCCGATCATCCAGGCATCCTTGAGGAAGAGAGAGCCGGAGAGAGCCGGAGAGAGCCACAGAGAGCCAGTCTCTGCCCTCCTTTTATTTTACATTGTGTGGCCTATAATTCCAGAGGCATTCAGCTTCTCAGCCAGTCCTGTCCTAGACTGTTTACCATTGCCTTGGCAACCCCCTCCTACACCACTCCCTACTCCTCCCCAGTGATCTGATCTGATCTCTCTATACATCTCCAGTGAGGATTGATCTTTAACTTGATTTAACCAGCCTCACAAATGCACCAAGTGAATGCTGATCAGGTTCTCATTGTAATCTCTTCTTTCCAGTCTTTTAAATTTCTTCACACTGGGGTAAATAGAGCAGACTTGTTTGGGGCCCTTTAGCCTTAGAGGGCCAACAGAGGGTCACTTTGGCCCCATATAGCCTTTGGTACTCCTGTACTAAAACCTCTGTCTTAACCCCACTAATATCAGTTTTACAGTCATACCTCAGTACTCAATGGCTTCAGACCTCATCAAACCCAGTACTCATCACATTCTGATTAGAAAAAAATATTTTAGCTCTTGGAGCTTGCTCGGGTCTGGTCACACTTGCTAGAACTTGTATGAGTCAAAACACTGCCCTACAAGAGAAAATTTCTTATGAGAAAACTTCATTCAGTACTTGTCAGTTTTGGCACTTGTCACAAGTTCCAAAACAAATTAACAAGTACTGAGGTACCACTGTATTTCACCCAATTTTTCCTTTCATAGGTTTGTAGCTAAATGTACTTAAGTTCTGTATGATACAGCCCAGAAAGCTACCAAGGGTACAGATACAGAATTACCCATGTTACTAAGGTCTTTATCAATCAAAATGATAGGGGAACTCAAGAGTTAAAGATTTTAGCTTTAGTTAAAGTTGATAGGCCTAAGTGATTAATGCATGTGGAAAGCTGGTATTCCAGGAAATGGAGTACTTGACTAAGTGACTCCAGGTTGGCAAGTAATCCAACCTGCCCCAGGGGGTCTGCAAGTAATCTGATGTTACATTATCTGAGTTAATCAGTAGATAAAGAAATACTACACAGCAGAAAAAAAGGAGCTCCTACGCTTTTCAACAACAGTGTGCATGGATCTGGAGTGCATTATGCTAAATGAAATGAACCAGGCAGTGAAAGACAAATACCATATGACCTCATCTATAAGTGGGACCTAATCAACAAAACAAACTAGCAAGCAAAATATAAACAGAGCTGTTGAAATTAAGAACAAATTGACAATAACCAGAAGGGAGGGAGGAGGAGGTAATGGGAGAAATGGGGGAAGGGTTGTCAGGAACAACTATAAAGGACACATGGACAAAACCAAAGGGGGGTAGGATCAAGGGTGGGAAGTGGGGATGGCTGGGGTCAGGGGACATGGTGGAGGGGGAAGAATGGAGACAACTGTACTTGAATAACAATGAAAAATGTGGAAAAAACAAAATAAAAAAATTCCAGGAAAGTCACCTCCAGACTGCAACTCTTATTTGATTAACCTCTTTCCAAACCCCTTACCTACCCTTTCCTTCTCGTTATAAAAAGGTTGGCTTAAGATAAGATGTTAAGACATTTTCTTAGGGTACATAACCCACCACCTTCTCAGATCATTGGTATCTGAATAGAGCGCCCATAAAGATTTAATCCTTGTCTCTACTTACTGGTTCTGGTGGTGACAGGCAGCACAAATACTGACTTTTTTGCTTTCAAAGGTAATTACTTATTTTCAGCTTGAGCGATCTTAAATAAGTCCTACAATTAAACAGTTGACACAAAAGAACAAACAAGAAACAAGCAGTTACAATATCTAACAATAATTCAGCAACCCTTCCATCTTTCTGAAGTTCAGATGGTACTAAGTCAGATACAACAGACAAGACAGTTGGAGAAGCTGGGTGGCCCGCACTTCTTACTACATGTCAACCCTGAGTTTTATTCCCTCGAGGAAACAAACATGAGTTCTGCTCAGTCCAGTCAAGATGAGATGAACAGTTGCCTTGAGTCAGACCAGAACAAGCTACTGCTGACCACTCCTTCGAGATTTACTGAAATGTGGTCAGCATTGGCCCCCTTCCCACAAGATGAGACACAGACTCAACAGGCAACAAGTACAGCCTCAAGCAGACTGACAAATAAAATTCTTTCCCTTGGTTCCCACCAGGTTTCTCAAGTGTGAAAGAAGACTAGATCAGACACACAAGATTTCTCCCTCTTGGTTCCCCACAAGTTTCTCAGTCTGGGGGAAGGAGAGCAGACAAACCAAGGTTTCTCAGGAACCACATCCTTCCCTGTTTCCATTTGAGTTTGCCTGAACCTTAGAGGAGAGTGATCTTTCTAGGGTCATCACCCATGAAACCTTATCAGAAAAAGTCTTCAATTTCAAAAACCAGAGCAAATTTGAAATCTAGGCCATTTCAGTTCCTCCTTTCTTATGCTGCAAACAGAAATACTGTAGGTCGACAGCCCTGGGTCATGGCCTGCCATCTCTCCACCTCCAAGACAACAGGTCTGAGCAGCCGCTGGTGGGGGCCTGGGGGCAAGCCCTGTGCCTGGGGCCAACAAACCCAGGCAAGAGGGGGCCTCCCGTTTGGCATCAACATTACCTGACAAAAGGGGTCTGTTTACCTGCATGCATCAAATCCCAATAAGACACAAACAGGACTTTGCAGCAAAGTAGGAGTTTATTAGTTGAAAAAGTGGGCCATGCCTGGTAACAAGTTAGCTAATGCTCAAAGACCTGAATCCTCGATGGCTTTTAGGGGAAAAGTTATTAATCACAGTAACTCAGAAAGTTAGGTTTGTGGCCAGGGTCGTGGTCTCTACTGATTACCAGGCTCTAGGGCAGGAGGTAGTTGGCCCGATGTTGGCCATAGCATCGCTTTGACTGGTTTCGCTACTTTTCTGGGCCTGGAGCTGAAACACAGCTGAGACCTGGATGTCATCTCTAGTTTGACTGAAAACTCTGTGTCTGAGGCCAACAGACCCAACACTACGTTCCTGAGATTATTTGATGCTGATCAGAACCTTATTGTCCCGAGAGCTGAAGGAGTAAGGGAGTGGTTCTGCAAGGGGGGAAGCGGTGCTGGGTGAGGCCAGTTTAAATCAAAAGGACGAAAGGAGAAAAGGACATATTAAAGACAAATGTAACAAAGTTTACATTGTTATAGCTTTATACTAGTATACTAACCATTAAGACACCCCTAATAAGATGGAAAATCAAAATTAAAACAAAAGTCAAAGTCCACTCAGACCCCTTCTTATTTATTTGCAGATATTATTTAAAAAATTAGGACATTGTGCCCAGCTGGTGTGGCTCAGTGGATTGAGTGCAGGCCTGCAAAGCAAAAGGTCACAGGTTTGATTCCCAGCCAGGGCACATGCCTAGGTTGTGGGCCAGGTCCCCAGTAGGGGACATCCAAGAGGCAACCACACATTGATGTTTCTTGCCCTCTCCTTCCTTTCCCTCTCTAAAAATAAAATAAATAAAATCTTTTTTAAAAAGAGAAATTAGCATTTTGGTTTCAGGACTACTCTGTCCCCCAAATTACCATGACAGTTCTGGGAGAACAGAAAAAAGAAATCACTACCTGGTAAAAGGGGACATGGATGAGCCACTTCAGCAATCACCCCACCAGCATCACAAGCCAGGGACCCCCCATCCCCTCTCCTTGCCTACATTTAATGAAAACTTTCCACCGAGGCCCTGTCGAGGCTCTCATTTCCCAAAGGCTTCCACTCTAACTTCTTGAGTGCGTACTTTGACTTTAATAAGTGCCTTATTAAATCTTTTCATTGTGCTCTCAAATCCTCTCCTGTGCGGTGACAAGAACCTAGACCCCTGTACTGGTATCAGGTGGAGGACTCTCCTGGCCTCCCTGGCTGCCGCCTGGCATCACAGGGAATAATTTAGACACCACAGCCATTGGTTATTCAGTAGCCCCAGATACAAACTGCTCAGGTAGCAACAATTGCAGAGAAAGATGAGTCTGCAGAATCAGAGGGTGTAATTGATTCTCACAAATGTAGAGAAATCCTTTCTCAAAAACTCTCTTTATCAAAAAATACTAAGTGAACTTTCCCAAGATGTGCCTGGTGTTTCCAAGATTGAAAAAGAAAAATCAGAGGGATTGCTAGGGGGAGGGGGACATAAGGGGACTAAATGGTAATGGAAAAAATATAATAAAGATAATATATTTTTTAAAAGGAAATAAAAATCAGTGGAAGAAGGAACGCCACCTAACATCACTACCATGTCAGTATCAGACTAGCAGGGGGCAATATGATATGTATGTTGCAATTTGATATGGTACAGTACTAGCATAACATCTTCTCTCATTATATTAAAGCAATGCAAATGTTGGCCTTAACTTGTTGCATTTTAAAATGCATTATAGTACCTAGCCCTGACCCGCATGGCTGTTGCTTGAGCATCATCCACAAAAGCAAAGGGTTGCTGGTTCAATTCCTGGTCAGGGATCATGCCTGGGCTGTGGGCCTGGTTTCTAGCTGGGGCACATGTGAGGGGCAACCAACTGATGTTTCTCTCACACATCAATAGTTCTCTCCCTTTTTCTAAAAATAAATAAATAAAAATAAAATAAAATAATAAACACCCACACCCCTGCAATTAACCTTGACAACTACCTTCATCCACAGTGCTTTATACTTAAAACCATCACAGGGGAAATGAATAAAAGCAAGAGGGGCCACAGCTTTTAAACATTTCACCTCAACCCAGATGATACCCCAAGCCTCCGCTCATCTCTACAGCAGTGAATCAGGACAAGACATAGATTTGCTGATGTGCACCTCATCACCAAAGGACTGAAGATGCCTGGGATTTTATTCTGTAATATTTCTAAGGCTGTGTCCATTAAATGTAAACAGAAAAGGAAGAAGTCCAGGCAGAACAGAAGAAGCGATGCACACGTGATGACCAGATCGGTTTAAGTGCTATTCGTGGCGTACAGCCTAGTCCATGCTCTGGCTGTCTCCAGCCTTGGGCGTCGTTGGTCCTCCACTGCTCCCTGTATCGTTAGCTCATGGATCGTCTGGACTGGGAGCGCTTCACAGAGACTGGATCACTAGCAGAACTGCGGGGATCTGCGGTGCTGGGCACCACTTACCTTCCAAAATATCTAAACACATCCTTCCCAACTTGTCTACATTAGGGTGATAAATTTTGGTCATGAAACATACTTTAGATGCTGCCATTGGGTATTCTTCTGAAAGAAATAGTTCAAGTTTAAAAGTTCCTCCCTCAAAGTGGGAATCCTGGGGGCAACAACGACCACATGAAAATAGGGGTGTGGCTGTCATCTGGGTCTGCCAGCAAACTCTGGGTTTCCTGATAACCCAGCAGGGCAGCCCAGCCATCCTGACAGATCCCAAGTTCAGCCTCTGGTCTAGTCCCCAGCCCTCTGGCCTCACGCACTTCTGGGAAACACTGCTGCACCCACCTGCAAGGCCCCTCTGGAAAGGCAATCCCTGCTTTGCTCAGACGCAGCCAAGCTTCCCTCAGACTTGGTCCCCTCAAAAAAATTTATATCCAGAATCCCCCACAAGGAGCACTGTTAGTTAGACAGGGAGACCATGACATTTATCGCAGTATTTCATAACATATCTCTAAAAATGGTAAAAGATAGTTCCAAGTAAGAATATTCCCCACTTCATATTAATATCCCTGACTAGAGCCTCTTACAAATTAAGGTTAGCACCACTATATTGTTTTTAACTTATAGAAAACAAACACTGTGAATGGTGATGCAGGACAGAGTTTACCGCTTCACAGGATTCAATATAGAAAAGGTCTGTTTCCTTAAATAGAAATCACACCCTCTAACAGAGTATTTAGCACTCTATTGCTTAAAACACAGTTAATAAAACATTTGTATGAGATGACTGTAGAAATATTTGCTGACAAAAAGATTGCAGTTTTAATGACATACAATCAAACATAAATGAAAACATTCTGAGAGCTTACATTTACCTAAAAGTAACAACAAATATCCAGTATTCCTGACAGGAGGAAGGTGCTTACTATCCCGCTGAAAGACCAGATCGAGCCAACTACTGCACAATGCAGTAGAGAAACAAACTCCATGTTCTTTTATCCAATGCATCATTGTAAATACGGATCAACAAAACATACCTTCCAGTACTATCAACAGCACAAGCTGTTCCCTGTACAAAGTAGGTCTTATACAGATAACACCTAGAGAACCAAAGAATCAGACGATGGTCCCATGCATGAGAAGTTCAACTAGCTTCTAGGCGGACACAAGAAAGCTTAAGCAAAAGCCACTCTGATGGGTCCCTGGTGTGAATCTTGTGAAGAAATCACTGGTAAACTACACCTCTAAGAAATCAAACAGGCCATAGTTGAAGATACTCTTGACTGGAAGGGCAAAGAATCCAAAAAATGACCTGGAAAATGGTGCCCTATGTTAAACCTCTATGTATCATTCCATTTCCATGTGTGGTGGCTCTACAAGCTGACTAACGGGTTTTTGAGATAGGCCTTCTCTATCTCATCAAGTGAGGCTACTGGTAAAGTCTAATATGGAATCTCACAGTATAAATTCTGGAAAATCTAGTTCCTAACGTTACTTACAAGGGAGTATCTCCAAACATTGATTTTTGGTCACATCACAGGTCTCTCCTCTTAAATCAAAATATCTAACATGCTAGTCAGGAGGGAAAAAATCACAAGATTAAACAGTAAAGTAAGTTCACATGGAAATATGTTCTTTCATAAACTTAACACACATAAATATTTATTCCATTTATTGCTAAGGAACATGGGGGAAAACCTCTTATACCAATTACCCCCACTGCATAAGGCATTGTCAGTAATAAAGGGATATATTTGATATATATATAACATATATATACTGCACTAGGATTGTCCATCACATTTCACATGGCCAGTAAAAAAAAATCCAAATAGCAAAATAAAAAAAATAGCAACTTTTAATGCCATTTTAACATAAGCTAAAATATCATTTAAAAAATCTGTTTCCATATTAGAAATATACTGGAACTCACACATTAACGGGCTTCAAAGAGTCAGCAATGACTCAATGAAAAATAACTGGTTATTAATGTTATGTCATGTTGTTGAAAGACATGCCCCAGAATTATCACACTATAATACTCATTTCTGAAAGAAACCAGTTGACCCCTGAACCACACAGGTTTGACCACAGGGTCCACTGTTACACAGCAGTTCAAACACTCGACATTAAAGGGCAAATGGTCATTTCAATGTGTGACTGGGAAACCACAATTATCTGCAATTTTAAAAACAACTCTTTACTCTTGAAAGTTTTCTGAAACATTATATATATATATATATATATATATATATATATATATATAAATTTCCATCAAGCTCTATCAGGTTATTTACATTTTTATTCCCTTTAGTGGAAGTCATCACATACGAAAATGTGGACCAGCTGAGATTTTTCCCACACACTTAACATTCATGAGGTTTTACCCAGTGAGTCCTCGGATGTCTCTGGAAAGGAGAGGAATAACTGAAATCTTTCCCACATCATTTACATTCACTAGGTTTTATTCAGTGACTCCTCTTATGCCTTCGTAAGGATGAGCGGTCAACAAAGGCTTTCCCACATTCTTCACATTTATGTGGTTTGTCTCCATTGTGCCTTTTCACATGTAATTGGAGGTTTTTGTTACAAGTGAAGGCTTTTCTGCATTCTTTACATTTATAGGGTTTCTCTCCAGTATGATTCCTTTCATGTATTTGTAAGTTACTGTGATCTTTATAGGTTTTACCACACTGTTTACATTCATAGGGTTTCTCCCCAGTATGAGTTCTTTCGTGTCTTTGATACAAACTAAGGCAAGTGAATGCTTTCCCACACTGCTGACACTGATAAGGAGTGTTTCCAGTGTGCATTTTCATGTGTCCTTTGAGGGAGCAGGGATAACTATAGGCTTTACCACAATGTTTACATTCATAGGATTTCTTCCCAGTGTGAAACTTTTTGTGTATCTCTAAGGAACTGTAATATCTGAAGGCTTTTCCACATTCCTTACATTCATAGGGCTTTTCTGCTGTGTGAGTCATTTCATGTGGTTCTAAGGATCTGAAATATTTAAAGGCCTTCCCACATATCCTACATTCATAGGGTTTCTCTTCATTGTGAGTTCTTTCATGTCGTTGAAGACAGCTGGGGTACATGAATGCTTTACTACACTTTTTACACTGATAGGTCTTCTCTGCAGTGTGATACCTTTCATGATTTCGGTATGACCTGAGGAGAGTGAATGCTTTCCCACACTGCTGACACTGATAAGGAGTGTTTCCAGTGTGCATTTTCATGTGTCCTTTGAGGGAGCTGGGATAACTATAGGTTTTACCACAATGTTTACATTCATAGGATTTCTCTCCGGTGTGAAAACTTTTGTGTATTTCTAAGGAACTGTAGTGTCTGAATGCTCTTCCACACTCCTTACATTCATAGGGCTTTTCTGCTGTGTGAGTCATTTTGTGTGGTTCTAAAGACTTGAAATATTTGAAGGCCTTTCCACACATCCTACATTCATACGGTTTCTCTGCACTGTGACTTTTTTCATGTATTTGAAGTTGACTGGGATGCATGAAGGCTTTACTGCATTTCTTACACGGATAAGGCTTCTCTCCAGTGTGGGCTCTCTCACATGTCTGAAGAGAAGTTGAAGAACTAAAGGTTTTCGCACACACCTTACATCTGTAAGGAGCATCTGCAGTGTGTATGATCGTGTGTCTCTGAAGGGTTTTGAGCCACATGAAGGTTTTCCCACATTCCGCACATTTATAGGGTTTCTCTCCATTGTGCGTCCTTTCGTGATTTTCAAAGCACTGGAGGTAGCTGAAGGCTCTCCCACATATACCACATTTATATGGCTTCTCTCCATGTTTCTGATACTCAGAAAACTTGTGTCCAGTGTAACATTGGGTGTGCCTGTTACGGGATGAGCCATCCAGGAAGACTTCATTAAACATGATACAGTCACATGATTTTCTTCCAGGAAGAGTTTTCTTCTCCAGATTGAGATTTGGAATAAGGTTGGTGTTATCTCCACATTGACCAACATTTTTCCCTTCACAGATTCTCTCTGACATATGTCTTCTGTAAAAAACAAGAAACACATCACTAATGCTTTTTATTAGTGATTTTATATTTATTAGTAAAATATTTGAACTATATTTTTATGATTTATACTAAAAGTGCAGGTTTTGTTTTTCTCGATTTGTTCAAAATTTAATATACTGAAGGCTCTGTAAGACAAGTTTACCCTTGCTATTAATAAAATAGTGACTCTCATATAGAGGGTTTAATAAATGCTGTTTCCTACTCTTTTTTTAAGCACTGATAATTTATGTCATATATAAGAAAGCAATTTGGTGAAACTTTCTAAGATGTAATACATTTAAAGCAGCAGTTGTTTTGGTTGTTTCTTTTTAAAATTTCAACGATAACTGGTTTTTCACATGAGACACTGCTTTCTCTTGTGAGTATGACTCACCTTCGTTTTCTTTTCTGGTTTTTATACTGATCTTCAATGTCATGATCTTCCCATACTTTACCTAAAATAGCAGACCCAGAAAAACAATTCCAAAGTATTAGAGATTATTTAAAAATTAGTACGTTCTACTTCTATGATGAGTTGTGACTATTTGTCAATGTCCTTTCTTCCCACATTATACAGGTTAGAGTATGTTCATGAATAAAAAACACGTGTGCTCTAATTGACCAAGTGAAAAGAACTTGCCATCCTTACCTACAGAAGCCAAGTTCCTGAAGGTTTCCCACATCACATCTCTGTAGAGTTTCTTCTGTGAAGGATTCAGTAAAGCCCACTCTTCCAGGGTAAAGATCACAGCCACATCCTCAAGGATCACTGAGTCCTAAAACACTCCATAAATGCATAGAGTAAAATTTGTGGAACTGAAAGCCTGAACATCCATAATCCATTTATAAGAAGGTTACCTATGATCTATTCCCTCCAAACATTTATTATATGTCTTGATCAAAGAAACTTTCTTTCCACACTTACTTCCTCATAAATTTAATACCATCAAGAACACAGAGAAATTGTTTATATATTTTTACTGTGATCACATTACATCATTATTTCTCTAACAGCAGGATACAGCACATGTTGAGAAATGACAAAATCTATACAAATGAAATGATCATTATTTTAATAACATCAATGCCTTGTAAAAATTCATTCAGCTCCTTTCTTATTATTAACAATGTACAGCACTCCTAAGTCGGGATGTGAAATCTGTATTCAATGAATAATATTTACTTAAGAAATTAAAGCTTTCTGACCACCAAATATAAGACAAGCCCGTGTGGTCTTTGGTAACCCAAGTTCTAACGAGGTGCAGCAGGCCATGTCTCACTCAAGTCCTCAAGGACACGACAAGTTGTCAGACACATCTGGCTGAATAAAAATGTTCTATGGAGAAGTATTGCTTTTACCTTGTGTAATATTTACCAGTTTCAGTTCTTCCTTTCTCTTTCTGTATGATTAGATAAGCTAAAATGTTGATCGTGTGCAATTTAACACAAGGGCACTCTCTGAGATATGTGCTGTTAGGTGAATTTGTCATTGTAGGAATATCATACAGTGTACATGCACGAACTTCGATGGTAGGCAGAGCCTCCCATGTTCCTAAGCTATGTGGTTTCATAGATTGTTCCTAGGTTATAAGCCTGTATAACACATTACTGTACTGAACACTGTAGGCAACTGTAATACAAGAGTAATTAGTGTATCTAGATAGTGCCTTCCCTTCTGTCAGTTCTAAGTTCCCCTGTTGACTAAAGGAGCATGACATACGACTTCCAGTCAAGATGGTGGCATAGGCAGACATGGCTCACCTCTTCACACAACCACATCAAAATTACAACTAAAATAGACAACCATCACTCAGGACCATCAGAAATCTAATTGAATGGATGACTAACAACTATGGAATTAAAGAAACCACATCCATCCAGACTGGTAGGAAGGGCACAGACATGGAACAGGCTGGTCCCATGCCCACATGTGTGGTGGATAAAAATTCAGGAGGGATATCTCAGGGGCGAGGAGTCCCAGCCCCATACCAGAACCCCAAGCTGGGTGGAGAGGGACCAAGTGGGGGGAGGGGAAATGAGAACAACTGTAAAAGCATAATCAATAAAATGTAATTAAGAGGAAAAAGGAGAATGATATCAACCCTTGGGCACAGAAATCCCTCAGATGATGACACCACACATTGCCAATAGGGTATGAAAGTGTTGATGACTTCCACAACTGGGATCTCTGGGAAGAGGAAGGCAGGCCTCTCAAGCAGGCATAAAATAGCTTGAGAGAGCAATATATGTTTTATTGAGTAGAAAGTCAACTAAGGTGAGAGTTCATACGCCAAGGATGGAGCTAGCATGTAGTCAACCTCTTACTACCCTATAGGATGGAGCACTAAGGCTCTCTTGTTGCCATGGATGCACATGAAGACAAGGAGAAAATAAATTATGAAGTATTGAGGGTGTCAGCAGTCATCAATGATTGGAATCAAAGACTTCAAGTTTCTGATCTAGAGCATAAGTAACTTAGAAGACATCATTTCCCTGTTCACAGAAAAAAAGCACAAAAATTGGAAATTAACTTGTATTCTTAATCCATGAGATAATTTAGGGCACAGGGAAACGTGGTGTTTCCAAACTTTGGAAAGAGAAAATGTACACAGTATTTTGAAGTATGGCCCAAATATTTTGTTCTAAACATAAGCATTACTTTAAAAAATCTATCTTGGTGAAGAATAACGCAGAAACAACAGAGAACAAACAAGAACACAATATCCATTAACCCTCGGCAAACCAGCTTTCAACAGGAAATTTAAAAACACATCATGAGAATGCCTTTTTTTAAAAAAGGGAGAAAGAAACCAATGCAGTACCAATTAATTTTCATAAAATTAGTAACAGACAGCAAACTGTCAATGCAAAAAGCTCATGTTACACTAAACATGAGACACGACAAAAATGCACACCCATACTTCACACTGAATTGGAAAAAAATCAAAGGCAAATACAATCTATTGAAAGAAGCCAGAGGACAAAATACCTTACATATAGAAAATAAAATTTAGAACTAAATCTAGAATGTCACTTCGTGAAATATGCTAGCAAGACAGCAATAAAATGATACATTTAAATTTTGAAAGAAAAAATATATATAAATTTTGAAAGACAAAAATTTTCCTAGAATTCTGTGTCAAGCAAAATTATCCTTCAAAAATAAAGGAAAGAATGTTCTGAGATAAGAACTGAGAAAATTTGTCATGAGTACACCTACTTTAAAGGAAAATTCAAGGCCTGGCTGGTGTGGTTCAGTGGACTGAGTGCCAGCCTGCAAACCAAAGGGTTGCTGGTTGGATTCCCAATCAGGGCACATGCCTGGGTTGCAGGCCAAGTCACCAGTAGGGGTGTAAGTGAGGCAACCACACATTGATGTTTCTCTCTCTCTCTTTCTCCCGCCCCTCCCCTCTCTCTAAAAATAAATAAATAAAATATTCTTAAAAATAAAAAGTCAAGAATTCATCAAAAATAACATAAATGATTACATTTGTCAATTAAAAATGAATGAAAGTTAAATATGTTTTGTTTTCCTTACCATAATTAATGTAACAGATGACATATTGTTTAAAACAATATAGACTTAAATTTTAAATAGTGATAAAAGGTCAATTCCCCAAGAAGAGATTGCAATTCTTCATATGCACATGATAACAGAGAATCAAACTATGTAAGGTAAAAAGAATTTTAAAAGACATAGATAAAAGCACTAGTATAGCTATCAACTTCAACAACCCCTTACTATGAATTATAAATTTTAGCAGAAAGAACAACACCAAGGAGAGAGATAAACTCAATCATGCCATGTAACAAATGGATTTAATTGTAATCTATGAAATACTTCTTCTGATAAGAGCAGAATACTCATTCTTCTCAAGTTCACATGGTACATTCACCAAGACAGAACACTTCTTGAGACATAAACCCACCTTAACAAATTTGAAAGAATGGCATCATACAAAATATGCTCTTACATCACAGAGGCATTCCTCTAGAAATCAATAACAGGATAGCTGGAAAATTCCCAAATGTGTGGTCATTCAAAAAGATTTTTCTGAATAACATACGGAATTTTTTTCAAAGTCTCAAGAGAAATAAAAAATTATTTTGTGTTGGAAACTGCCCTGCCTGGTTTCAGAAGCCATAACTCCCGTGGCTAAGGCTGAGTAAAGGACCTTTGTCAGGAGCCGACAAACAGCTGACCTTTGACACAGTCGGGTCGGGTGAGACATGTCTGCACAGCAGAAGCGGCTGTGGCTGGGTCTCCTGTCTATCTCCTCCCATATGCCTGTCCCTATTAGCATTAGGTGATGAGATTTTTGGACACCTGTGCTTTATAACAAAAAACTCTGCATGATACCTCTAATTCTGCGTGAAATGACTCGTTAACCACAGAATAGAGACACCTAGCAACCCTAATATTGCCTGTTTCCCTCACCTAGAAAGTTAAGGATAGAATTAAACTATGGGCAGACTAGCTGCCAAAATGCTGGAGGAGGACATTGCTAGGAATGTTTAAGGAGTCACCATTCAAAAGCTCAAGATTTATTAGAACCACTGCCTTTCCCATGCCCTGGGCAGGAGTGGTTATTAATGGGACCAGGTAAGTAGAGGAGGAAGGACTTTTAATTTAAATATAATAATCTTAGTACATGGAAACATAATATGTCCCCCCCCCCCCGATATGTAGTTAATAGATCTAGGCAAAAAAATCATTTATTTAATTTAGAGCATCTAATTTCTATAAACAATAATTAATTTTTAAATCACTCCTTATACCCCTTTGATTTAGGCCAATCTTTAGAAACTTAGTAGATATTTAATTATAATCAGCATTTGAAAGTTTGTGCTCATATGGCTTCGTTGGCTATCTGATTAATAACCCTCTTGGTCAAAATAACCTTTGTTTAATATGGTTGATCTGTGGGACTTCCTGTACTTTTCAGTTATTTCTTTGTTTAACATAATTAATCTGTAAAATCTTCTGTACTTTTCAAAGTTATTTCTATGGTAACCATTTCTGCTTTAATAATCATATTATGTATTAAATATTGTATAACCTCCCCTATAAAAATGAAAATTGATTTTTCTCGGAGAGTCAGCCAGGTCTAAAGGGCCTGGCTGTCCTCTGGCACATAACCCGGTGTCTTGTTTAACCTGAGCCGTTCCTCCTTCAGGGACCCTAAGACCCACCAAGCTGGACCCTGGCAGACATTGGGACCATAAGCCACTTAGGAGATAAAGCTTATCTTCCTTGTAAGAGCACCACCTCTGCCCCCTTTCTCTTCACCCTGCTTGGCCCTGGGCGGATGACTGATTAGCCAATGGCGAGTAAGATTCCTCAAAAGAGGGACAACCTAAGACAGGCATGGTCTCAAAGGGGCTCCCAGGGAAGGTCTTGGGGGGGCTATAGAAAAAGGGGGTGATGGACTCTTGCCCCTCAGCTTTGACATAGCCTGAGTCCTCATTCTGTCTGCAAGAAGTCTCCTGGTCTCTTGGCTGCCTTACTTCCCCTGCCTGACTTAAGCCTGAAACAATGCCTTAAGCCTGAAACAATGCTGGAGGTGGGTGGGGCCCTGTGCTGGAAAGGGTAGGTTCCCTAGGGCAATCAGGTCTAAGAAAGAATGCATAAAATCCTATGAAACCTACTTTGCTAATACCCTCAATTTAAATGATAAGGGTCCAAGCAGGAAGTGAGTTTGTTCCCCAAAGTTTTATGGGCCTTTAACTATCTGACCCTGACTCAGAATAAGCCATCAGAGTTCTTTGAATGTTATCTATTGT